TATCATCAATCCGAAATTTCCAGGTGGGTTATTCTAAAATTATCTATGCATATGTGTAATTTAAATTGTGATGAAAGTTTGGTGTGATCTATGTATGAAAATGAACATGTAGCCTATCGATGTGAGCTTGATGGCCATCGGTACGGTTGTCCCCGTATGATAAGATACGGTTACCCAGTGAGGTAAATCTCATTAAGACCTATGAGAAGGCCGTGTCATTGATGTGGCACGCACTCCCATGTTTCACTGATATGGCATGTCTTAGCTTTGATGAGCATAGATGTACATGAGTGAGTCTTTGATGAGACTAGAGTCATTGATGTGACTAGAGATGTGACATGATTTAATTGTTTATGTTCATGCTGCGACCATACCATTTATAAGTTATTCATGTGCATAATGTGAGTACGATAATTAACTGTACTCACTCTCACCTGCTCGTAACTGATGCAGGTTAAGCAGTTGGCGGTGACGAGACGAGATGACGAGTGGTGGTTATGACATTTATTTATTTAATTTTGCTTCCGCTTAGTTTATGAACTAATGTCGAGATTTGGATATTGATCATGTCGTTTGAAACTTGGAAGTTATGGATTATCTTTTGTGATTTTGAATTTAATGAATGCTAGTGAGGTTTATGATTTAATGTTCGAGCATGCTATCTTTCTTTAATGTGGCTGTTTTTGCGGATAAAAGCTTTTGGTAAAATAAGTAGCGCCCACTGAGTTTTAAATTAAATTTAAGGTTGAAAAAAAAATTAAATTATTGTGATTTTTTTGTTAAATAAATTCGATAAATATTTCAAAATAAAGTGGGGCGTTACAAAACTGCTTATGAGTATGTCTGCATTTGCACGGTACCACGTGTCCCGTCAACTGCGGGTTCGCGGGGTAGCCCACCTCGTCTCGTCGAGAGATGTCCGTGTTAACCGGGTCCAACGAACAATTATATAATATAAATTACATACATTGATCCTATGGCCCACGCAGGGGTCGTACATGAATGATCTAGTAAAGCATTTAAACTATTTGGTGTCACACCGCGCGAATAAATTATTACAAACATTCACCAACCCAAAAAAATCCTCGACATGTCCAAGGCTTATAAAACGACATACATGAATTGAAAAACACACATACATACGAGCCATAATAGTCGGATTCAAGAATACCTGCAAGCAACACTTATTTGCGATTCTAATCTATTATGCGCTGCGTCCGTACACAATTAATTCACATATATCACGCAAGTCCTAATTTGAATAGTGCACAAAGACGAAATTATCTGGGTTCTGATACCAGTTGTTGGGTTCTATTAGGAACGTCGGCAATATGCACATTCAAATTTATTGAATAATAAATCCTAACGCAGCAGAATCTATAGTTAAGATTAGGACTTACGGTTTAAAATTTTTGCCGACTCAGAGACATTTTTTATTTCGGTTGATGGAGATCTTCTGTTTACCACAACCCAATCGGTTGAAGGGTTTGGCCTTTGTCGACTCTAGTCGAGTGTTGAATCACAAACAGATCGCCTCGGACCTTTGGTATGTGAACCGGACTCTCTGGATAGCTCGAAAACCATCTTGGGCACGAACCGGGCTAACTGGGTCAAGCCGAATTGGGTCGGGGCAGTCTGGACTAGGTCGGGTCGGGTTGGGTCTGGGCCAGACTGGGCTGGACTGGGCTGGGTCTGGCCGCTGGTGCCGAGTCAGGTCGCGCCTGGGCTGNCGGGTCGCATCTAGGACGTTGCGTGCGCAGGCAGGTGGTGAGGATGTCGCGCGGCGGGACGTCTGGTGCCCGCTGGCTGCACGATGAACATAGACGCTGCACTGGTGGCGCTGGGTCGCGTCGCGGGGTGCAGGGATGCAGTGCAGTCGCGCGCGGTACTGGGCGTCTGCCTACACGGTCGTGCATGGCTGGGCGCGTCTGGTGGCTACTGGTCACCGAAATTGCTCCTGCGAGCTCCTGTTGCTTCGGTGGTCGTCCTCTCCTGTTTTGGTGGCCATCGGAGATGCTGCGCGGTTGAATATATCTGACGGGATGAACGTATAAATATATTCGACAAAATCCGAATTAATAACCTTCGAATCTTCTTTTGTATGACGTTTACACGATATCCAATAAATCTTGGTGGAGCGATTTATTAGATTTTCCAAAGCTTCTCGATCTTCTTTTTCTAAGACCTCTCGGTTTTACCCGAATTTTCTCTCAATGAAGGAACACTATTTTTTCCTACATATTTTAGGCGTGTAAGACCAACCCTCAACGTGTGGAATTGCGTGAGATTCATCATCTCAAGAGGCTAGGGGACCTAGTGTATTTATAGGCTACAAAGGAACCCAAAGGATGTGCTAAATATGGGCTTATACTATTAGGTTAATGAATCCTAATTCTACTCCATATACTTTTCAATCTAGGATAGAATTCCTCCTACTACTAATTACCTTCTAGAAGACTCTTTAGTCTCCTAATCCTAGATAATATTCTAGAAGGAATATTCTCCTCCTAATGGAATATTAATTATGGAATAAAATTAATTCCTTAATCTAAATAGAATTAAATAATTAAACATTCCACTAAAGTAATATTATTGCTCTCCCCATTTAGCTCTGTTTTATAATTAATTCGTCTCCAATTAATAAATCAATATTAATTTAATTGATCGATTTATCTCTCTATGTTTAAGATATAACGTCCGTTGATTAATTAAATTACTGACAAAATAATTAATCAACTACTTATCCATTTCCGAAACTAGTACCACTCAGATCATTAATCATTATGTCGGATACACATCCGCCTGCAGGGCTTTGCATAATATTCCTTCCTGAACTCATTTCGGGGACGTCATCAACCCAGTGAACCGGGACATAGTGACCGTAGATAATTTATAACAACGCATCATATACACATCCTTATTTACCAAAATACCGAGTATGTCATCCTAACAGAATAGGAATCACCCTTGGTAAATCAAATAAACAAGTAATGAATATATATGCCTGCTTTATATTATCTTACAGCTTAAGAGTACGCATTAATTACTGAATGTCTAGATTATAACCGCGATCAGTAAATTTTATAATCTTATCTTTTCGTGGTCCTGTTCAATACTTAACATAAGTACTAGTGCAATCATTTAGTCAAAGATCAACTGAATCAAGACTACACTACAATCTTTTTCCAACAGGGGTCCCACTGCTTGTCTAAACTGTGAACTATTGATTTATATTTTACAAGGAATCGACAGTATGATCTTTCTGTTTGACACGACGAACCATACTATCTACAACATAAAATAAAGTAGTTATGATTGCATAAATGAATAAACTGCAAACATAAATACTTTGACTAAAACACGCTTGCCTGATCAAAATGGAATTGCTAGAATATGCAAAACGAGCTTTTACAGCATGCCTCTAACAAGTCGGTTTCAGGTCCATGAAGGATCTGGTCGAAGATAGACCTGTCGAGCGAGGAGCATTTGATCGACCACTCCACAGAATGAGAGCAGTCTGAGGATCGACCTTAACAGGATTTAGCGTAAAGAGCCTTTAAGGGAATTTTAGAGGAATATTCATGGGAATATTTACCCCATGTGCAGAGGACACGTGGCGCAAATGTATTGGTCTATGATGGTAACCGTTTCTGACACACGCATACTATGTGTGTACAGACGGGCAGGCCCGGGCAGCTTTGGGCAGACAACTCATCAAATCTGGGCAGCTCCTAGGTCAGGTATCCCACCCTCTATATAGGGGTGAACTTTTTCTTGTTGAGCACGATTTTATCCATTTTTACTTTTGAGAAATTGAGTAGAACAAACACTGACTTTAGCATCGGAGGCTCTTCACCGGAAAACCCCTCCGATGTAAGAGTTATCTTCAGGTACGCGGCGTTCTATCAACGAGAAGGAAGAAGGTGAACCAATTTACAGCCGATCGGAGTGTTTGACGTTACCATTTTTAGAGTGATATTTGTAGTCTTTAGACTTAAAAATCGATAAGTGAATCATTTTAATGAGTTAGTGGGTTGATTTACTGGACTGAGCTAAAAATACAATATTTTTTTTTTCAAACTAATAATTATTAAAAAAAAGGCCTGGAATTCAGCACAGCCTAGGCCTAAGCTAAGTCCGCCCCTGCATGCATCCATCTATAGTTGGTTGATAATGTAATTGTTATGGCTATCAGTAATAGAACGATATTCAAACATCACATTGAACTTATATAAAATGCAATTATTGTAGTGCCCGAAACAAATGAAAAATAGAAAGATTTCCAACCTTCCATTATCTTTGAGCTCCAACTATGTGTTGAGCAAAAGTATCTTGGCAAGGATAAGTCCTTTGCTTGTTGCAAACCAAAACATACAAAGNACATTACAACAATCAAATAACATAAAAAAAAAAACTTTTCATTAAAAAAAACCACTATCATCGTAGGTCGCGCCACTAGTCGGCGAACTATGAAATTGAGACGTCATTATTCGTTGGTTCAACCGCTCCTAGGTCTCCAATCCATCAAATTTCAAGCCTCTAGTCCAATGACAACCTCCGATGGTTCTCCCCGTAAGCTGCTCAATATTGTTGCGTGGTGAAAAAAAATGGGATTCATCGATGCTCGTTCGCCACAACCATATTGCCGGAGGAAAGAGACCGTTGGTGTCTCAGTTCATCCCCAATTGTGTGCCGCCACTCACAAAGCCCGCCGATCAGCCACCAAATCTAGGAATCGATTGCCTCATGCCGCCATTGTAACATTACAACAATCAAATAACATAAAAAAAAAAACTTTTCATTAAAAAAAACCACTATCATCGTAGGTCGCGCCACTAGTCGGCGAACTATGAAATTGAGACGTCATTATTCGTTGGTTCAACCGCTCCTAGGTCTCCAATCCATCAAATTTCAAGCCTCTAGTCCAATGACGACCTCCGATGGTTCTCCCTGTAAGCTGCTCGTTGTTGTTGCGTGGTGAAAAAAAATAGGATTCATCGATGCTCGTTTGCCACAACCATATTGCCGGAGGAAAGAGACCGTTGGTGTCTCAGTTCATCCCCAATTGTGTGCCGCCGCTCACAAAGCCCGCCGATCAGCCACCAAATCTAGGGATCGATTGCCTCACGCCGCCATTGTAAGTGTCATTTTAGATATGTGGAGATTGCTCTTGGAGAGTTGGTAATTGGGATCAACCAGCCAAACACTTGGCTTTCCGGGTCGACATTATTCGACCCATCATAAACGGTAATGGCCTCTGAACCTTTGGGCGAGATGCGAGTTAGGAAAAATTTTAAGTAAAAATCTTTCCTTTCCACCAATTTTGCTCCCCTCCAAAAGTGGAGGAATTTGGAGGAGAGGAAAAATTATGCAACATAAAATGACTAATTTAATTTTTATCATGTAAATTATTTTATTTTTTTGTTTCTTACATCATTTTGAGTATAACAGTCATTTTTACAATAATTTTTTCCCCTCCATTTTTCTAACCAAACAAAATTTATTTTCTCTTCACTTCTTTTCTAGAAAATCCCTCCAAACAAAGTAAAATCACCTCATCTTCCTTCCACTTCCTTCTATTAAAATTCATCCATTTCCCTCCTTGAACCAAACATACCCTTGCTATATTTGCTCTAATCGTTCCGCAGATCCAATGCTCCCCACCGTACCCAATCATTCCTCCGACCACCCATGATCCTCTCCAGGCTCAAACCCCTTCGCCTCCTCTCTAATCACTTCCGCTGCCACGCCGCTTCAGCCGCCGCCGTCTCCCGCCGCGACACCGCGCTCTGGACACCCGCCCCGCTGATTGAAGTCTCCGCCGCCGCCGAGTCGCTCTTCCACATCGCAATCGACGTCTCCGACTCCCCCGAACTCGCTGCGTCATACACCACGGCCGGGCAGTATCTACAGGTTCGCCTGCAGGATCCGTGCATCAGGCCTACGTTTCTCGCCATCGCATCGCCGCCGCCGGCCGCCGCTACGAGGGGCGTCTTTGAATTTCTGGTCAAATCCATCCCCGGATCCACGGCGGAGCTCCTTTGCCGGTTGCAGAAAGGCGATGTTGTCGGGCTGAGTGCGGTCATGGGCAAGGGTTTTGATGTCGATCGAATATCACCGCCGGAGAATTATCAGACGGTTCTTATTTTCGCCACGGGAGCCGGAATCAGGTGAAGACTGTTTGTTTTCGTTATTTCTTATTTTATCTTTGGTTATTTTTTAGTTACATCGTCTCGAGTTTGGTTTGGAAGCTTGTGCTTGGATTTTTTGAGATTGCTCGTCTATGGCCCCTAGCCTCTTGGGGTTTATGTAGCACTTTGTCTCAATTCAGGGGCTAAGTTGCTAACATATTTATCCTGGAATGACCAAGACTACAGCTTTATTCATTAGTCGGGGTTGCCTTGCATAATATGTTTGGCTCACCGGAATTTTTTAGTTGCCATTGTCTCTACCAAAAATTCGTCAGTGACAAATCCAACTGCATAGTAAACATCCGTTGCATGTTTTGTGCTATATAAAAATATTCATTGCGATGCATCTTATATGTTGCTTCAAGATCAATTAGCATTGAGTTTGACCTTGGATGAA